AATGCATTATTGTATTTTACATTAATTTCTATGGGAAAACTTGTTTCACTTAATGAGTGTTTCGCATTATGAGTACAATTCTGGAACAAATTATGCTTGTTAAGCAAGGTTCCACTATATTATAAAACAAGAAATACTAAAAATATTATTCTATTTTCAAAATGTACAATATTCATCATTAATATAACTGATATAAGAGTAATATACTTTTTACATACAGTTTATAATTTATAGTTCAGGTGTTATTTTTAGAAGTTTGTTTGTTCAGTCAATTTTTAATTTTACAATATTCAGTTTCAAAAATGTTTGAAAACTGCTGCTTTTAAATTGTGACATACATTTGATTTTTATTTGTTCTGAAGCTTAAAAACACCTGTAATATATTTGTACAAAAGTAAACAGAAATGTTTGCAAAATAATCATTTATTGATAAACTTATTATTGTCTATGTATATGTATTAGTATTAATAATATATTATTAATGTAAAATTATTTGTTTGCATATCAAAAATGTTTTAAGGAAAGTTTTATGGTTAGAAATATAATTTTAAATTTTATTGAACACTAACTTGTTGCTTAGTATTTTTTACAATTTAATTTTCAATAAGTGAATGTAACATATTTTATTTAAATTTTGCTTTTAAATAGGCTGGCTTAAATGTTGGTGATATGATTTTAGCTGTTAATCAAACAGAATTAATTGGTGCAGATTATGATACAGTAAGTATCTCACTTTAATGAAAATGAATTTTGAGTTTATTTCTTATCTTTTGTACTTTTTCTTTGTTGATTTTATTGTAAATATGTTTATTATAGCCTTTATTTTAATATAACAAAATTTGTAATTTATAAAATGATTCCAAATAATTGAAAACAATTTATTTTGCTTCTTGGAAAAACTATTATACTTTATTAAATCTCATTATTTTATAGTTAATAGAAACGACTTTACTATTTAATATATGTAATAAAACAATTGAACCAAATACAATATGTTATCAAAAATTGAAAATCATGCAGAAATAATTGACAATAGCAATTTTTTTCTTTTATTATAATTCTTTCCTTTTATTATATTTTCTTTTATTTTAATTGTAAATCATGTGGAAATCAAACTAATTATAGCATACTAATATATTTGTAATCATTGCACTTAACAGAAACAGAAAAGTTGTTTCAGAATTATATATAATGATTTAAAAAATTTTTAAACTAAAACATTTATACTGTATATGTATATAATATATATGCACTCTGTACAGCAGGGTTCTCTCTTTCTGCTAACAAAGATTGATTAATTGATATATATGCACTCATATTTTGATTTAATACTTCAATTTCTTAATATATGCTATATATTTTTAAACTGTAATATCGTTAAATCATTAATATCATAATATTTTCTTAGAACTTTAATTAATACATTTTAATAGCATAATTAGACTTAATTTTCACAGATTTTTGCTTACATACCTTAGGTGTATAATCTGTGCACAATCATTTTGTGTTAGTTTACTTATGCTCTGATTTTTAAAAAAATAATTTGTGAAAGTTCCATTAAAAACAATAAATTTCATTTAATACAGGCTAGAAAATTATATTAGCATTATTTAATAGTGAAAAGAAATGTTACCAAAGAAGAGAAAAAATTAATAGTGAATTAAGCTCAATATGATATAGTAGAAAATCTGTTGCTTTTCCATGTGACAAGATTATTATAGAAAATTTTGTGGTTTCACATGCAAAGACACTGCTTTTATACATATTTTACAATATTTATGTTTTACAAACTGTAGCCTATACAACTATAGTGTGTCATGTTCTTTCCTGATATTTTAACTTACAGAATAGTATCCAATATTATAACAAATTTCTAATTTTAATTAATGGTACACAATTAGGCAATAACAGATTTATTTATATAATACTATGTATTAATATATTTTAATACTTTTATTTATTTTATTTTTTAGGCTGCTGGTGTTTTGAAACAAATAGATGGATCAATTAACATTGTTATTGCTAATCCAAACAAGTCATTAGCATCAGATAATAAAGAAGAAAATAAAGGAGTTGAAGGAAGTGAAAAATTAACGAAAAGAGTATCTAAGAGAGAAAAGAGTGAGTTTGAAACAATTGGATGATATATGAATATAAATAATAAGATACAATATTTAGTTGTTATATATCTGTTTAATATTCAGTTCATATTACTTTTGAATAGTTTTGAAACAATTTAAATAATTTAAAAATTCACTTTCATATACAATAACCATTTTATTTTGTATGTTATTGACACATATATATGTATATATTGGTAAAATAATCACATATGATCTGTATTTATTTTGCATATGTTCCTGGCCTGGCATGGACTGAATTTGCATGATATGTACTCTGCCTGTGAGTACCATTGTTTTCCAAATAGTTGATTGTATATTTAAGCATGTTTGAATAAATTTATTGTAGTGATGTTATTTTTTTATTTTTGTGTAACAATATGTTGTTATAATCAGTGCATCAGATGTGTTTAGTATCAGATGAAATAAGACCAAAAACTAATTACATCTGTTTTTTTTTTTTTATAAGATTTACTGATTAAATTATTTCATATTTTAATAATGTAAGTATTATATATATATATGTATGTATAAATGGATATATTGTTTTGAATAAGTAGAATATTAACCCAATTCAAGCTGTTATTTTTTTGAATAAAAAAACGTTTTTAATAACTCAAGGACTTTAAGACTCTTGATCTCTTGATGATGATTCCATCATCAAGAGATCAAGAGTCTAAAAGTTAAAGAAGTAAAAATTGAGAGATCCAAATTATTACTATTAGTAGTAATCTGGCATCATCTCTTCCTCTTTACTCCTATTGTTAACTTATAAAAATGGATATGTTACCCCTAAAGTGCCTGAATTTTCTGTTAAATTATTCTAATAAAAACACTTTGGATTATAAAAAAGTACCACCTTTCAAACACTCCAGCCAATTAATTTAATACTGTAAAAACGTTTTCGACCGTTTTTAATGGTCTTCGTCAGTTAAACGATAAATAATAATAATAAAAAAAAAACACTTTAGATTGGATTTACATTTGAGGAGCATCTTTAACTTGTAAAATCAGTGCTTTTTTGGGGGAAAAAAAAGGTGGTGGAATTCTCATCTATGGGCATTCTAACAGCATTACAAATTCCAAATTTGTAATGCTGCTAGAACGCCCACTAGGGGGGCATTCCAGGTTACTAGTGAAATATAAAACAGTTGAAATGGCAGTCACCGGTTGCAATTAGCACTGCGATTCCTGCATTGCCGCCAAATCATGTCACCACAAACTAAGTTTGCAGTACAAATGCATCATGCACAAGATTTGGCACACAAGCAGGAGCAGGACTGTCTTAATAATTTTGTTGCTGATCTTCTATGCTCAACAGAGCGATCCAATGTGGACCAAACATCAAATTTTCAAAAATTCTCTTAAAATTTTTAAGTATATATTGAAAAAAGGTGGTAGAACGCTGTTCCATTGCATTCTATGACAAAAAATGTGCTGTGTAAAATACATTATAAATTAAATTTATGATATTATATTAAATTGTATTTGTCTGAATTAACTATTTTTCCATTGAATCAGAAAACTTAAATGAAATTAAAATTCAGAAATTGTAAATAAAAATATAATTTTGCAAAAGATTACTTGATTTACTACAGTTATTTGATCTTAATTAACAAAATGGAAAATGTTGCTAGAGATGCAATAGTTGGTTGTGTAGTCATTTTTTGTGTTCAGTTTTCTCTCCTAGTATAATTATCATCTGTTTGATTGAATCTTGAGGAATCTCATTCCAAATTTTACATAGGCTAGCTGTCATTCATACTTTTGTTTTTGCTTGAGGTACCCAAATCCAAAAAAATTAAGCAAACTAGCATCAGAACACTTGGTAGAAATATCTTTGTTTTCTACATAATTCCAGTTTTATCCTTTATCTCTTTGAGATATGATTGAACCAAGTTGCATATATGTGATAAAGTTTTATCATGATGAAACATAATTTTACCCTTGAATATATACTTCGTAGCTGTAAATCATCCCACTCCCAGAAGGACAGCTCTGCATTCCTGCAGCCAATAAGGCTACAAAAATATGGGATCCCACAGTCCCTCAAATAGTAGAAATGGTTCTGTAAGCAGAAACTGTGTTTTTGGTATGTCTTCAAACAAAATTTTGACAAGGGTTCCTATTTTAAAATTTATGCATGTGTGCACAACACCATCAGCACACTTCTTGATGGCAGAGCAAATCATTTAGTTTTTACATTACAAAATGCAGCATCTCAAGTTGGGATGAGTAGCAGTCAAAGTTTCATTTTGACTGCATATTATATCATTATCTAATGTTGATTCATGCATGTTTCAGATATCATTGTTAATTGAAATTTATAATTTACATAAATTAAGATTTTAAGACTGTAGAAAAATTTTTAAAGTATCATGTGTTAAATGGCAACACTACATAGTTTTCAAACGTCAGTTTGATAAATAAGCAAAAGAGAAAGTATTTTCTTCTGATTTCCAAGGCAGCAACGTAAGTTTAGTCCTTCTTTTTGAAATTTACTTTATTGATTTCTAGAGCATGAATGCATTCATAATTTAGAAATCAATAAAGTAACTTTATATTTATTTGTCTTATTTATTCTATTTTAATCAATAAAGTAAATTTCAAAAAGAAACCAAGAATTGAATTGTTCTGTAAAAAGGAAGTATAAGTACTTCTATGTTTTTGAAGAAGTGGAAACCCCTTTTGTTTTTGCTTTTTTTTTTTTTTTTTTAATTTATAAACTGACCATCAAAGCATGGCATTTTTATTTCATTCAGATCTTGTTCCTCACTGTTACAATATAAGTTTAACAGGTATGTAGTTATGATAGACATTTTTAGTGGCTTCAAGAGACAGCCATAGTAAATTCTCTATCAATTTTAGTCTTCAAAGCCATTTAATGAACAGTAACACATTGTGCTTACTATTATAATATCCATATAATTCCAACTAACATAAAGCTCTCAGGCCAACTTTCAGTGCTTTATCTCAATCAATTTTCAAATGGTTGTTTCCAGGTTTAAAATAAAAACTTTTCCTTTTGCCATTACAATAATATAGACACAGCCATGTTTCATCTCGATGAGATATTGCCACCTATCAGCTGCAACAGTTTTTCATATAACTTTCTTCAATTAATTTTCTCATAACTTTTAACCAGTTTATGAACTTTCTCTTTTTTGCCTTGTTATCAAACTAAGATTGTGATTGATTATGATGTGTTAAACATATTTGCAGTCATTCTCTGATACAATAGAATTTCTTCTTTATTACCTTTTTAGCCACCAATTTGATTGTACTTAATTTGGGTCTTTTCTGCATTTTTTCTTTTTTACCACTTTTCCATCAGCTGTCTTAATTTGTTGTATTTTACACTTGTAATGCAATACATTATAGTTGACTTATCAGAAACTATATACCTATTTTTTTTTAATATTATTATTATTATTTTTATATTTTGTGGATCAAAATCTTCATTGGGAAATGATTTTATTAGGAATAGTACTTTAAGCTTGGTAACTTGCATTTTTAATTGGTTTTCAAATTGCAGACTCATACATTTTCACTGTTACCCTTCTGTCCATCCTTTGTTAATCTTGAGAATGGAGATAGCTAGATGAAAATCAAGACCAGATATGGAAAGCTTATTTTTAAATTAAAATATGATTAAAAATTGTAGCCCAGCATTGTGATGATGTCACAATAAGTAACTGCTCATTTAAATTTTAAACAGTACAACAAATGGAAAAGGAAAAGATAATTAATTGAATGCTGGTCCAATTCTAAAATCCAATTTAAAAAGAAAATTACATTTCAGTATCTAAAATCTGATCATCCATAGTAAATGGTATAATTTTTATTATAGTGATGAGATGAATTGTTATCAAATGCTTCAATCAGTGAATAAAATAAAAAATAAAGAGTAAAAAAGCTGTTTTACTAATCAATCAATGAAAACTTTTAATTTGAAAAATTAGTTAAACTTGAAGATAACTTATTTAAGTAAAATTTCAACATTATTTAAATTATTTCTATGTTTACAACTAACAAACTTGTTATTTTCATGATATGCAAATTGTTATCTTTAATAAATAATAAATAAAGTTTTTGCTAACCTTTTGGTTATGCTTCTTCATAATTACAGCTAATAAGTATCAAGACAATTTTTAGCTTCCTTAAAGTTTGTTTCTAATAGCTATATTTTTACATAATAATTATGTTTATTTTTATCACATGTAGATTTGTATAATATTAAAAATGAAATACAATTTATAATTTAAAAGTAAAATTCTTAACCTTTTGATTAAAAGTTGACTTCAGCTGATGACCATTCCATGTAAACTTGTTAAAGAAAACTCCTCAAACATAATCCAACTGAAATTGCTTTTTCTGAAGGAAAAGTTTTGGATTGGATTAAATATTCTATGTTTGACTTATATAATGATTGTAAAACTAAATAAAGACTAGTTTTATGGATAAGATGTTTGATTCTATTGGGTTGTTCGGAAAGTTAGTTTATTTTTTTTACCACTAGACTGATTAGTGGTATTTTTCCTGCCATTTTCGTTCTAAACCATATTATCATTATATATTTTGACAGCTAGCATTTTATGGCTTATTTGTAAAAAATTTTGTTTGATTTCGTGCAATTGTTTATTTTTTGTGTCCCATCAAATATGGAAGATCGAAAGCAGCATCTTTGGCATATTTTGCTTTTTTATTACCAAAAAAATAAAAATACCGTTCAAGCGAGAAAAAAATCATGTGACATGTATGGTGGATATGTGTTGACAGAATGACAGTGCCAGAACTGGTTTACAAAATTTCATTCTCACAATTTCAGTATTGAAGATGCACCACGTTATGGATGGTCAATTGAAGCCAATGAAAACAAAATAAAAGTACTGATTGAAGCAAACTGTGGAATAACAACACGTGAAATCACTAAGGAATTAAATTTGTGAAATTGAACTGTTTATGAATACTTGAAACAAATTGGTTTCATTTCAAAGCTCG